TTATAAATGGCTGTCGAATAAATCAATTTTATGATTGGCCATTCGACGCCATTTTTAATATTTTCTAGTACTTTTGCGATACTGCCATAAGCCGATCGCGCTTCTCTGATAATCTAGGACTCTAGTCATCATGAGCAATGAGCATAGAAGTCTGATAAAGTGTGCTTTCTCCATTACTCTTTGCATCGTGGTATAATTGTGACAATCGTGACTAACAATTTAGCTCGGTATGTTTCGTTATTCAACAAAATTGGATTTTATTAATAATATCTATACAAAAAGTAACAAATATAATGTTATGACGTGTATTACAAATATTATATTTTCTTGATTTTTTTATAGAAGGAATTTATATTAGAAATAATTTGATTTTGTAATTATTCACTATTGTTAGTCAATTATAACACACATGTTTTTGTTGGTTATTTTATAATTGAATTCTTGTACCTTTATATCTATCTTTTTTTCACCTGTATTTCGACATATACGTGTATATATTTAAGGTTAAAGCATAAATTACTGGTGTAAGTATATGTATATATATATACATGTACATACATCAGTAATTTATGTCTTTAACCTTTAAAATAAATATTTACTATGTATTTACAAATAATAATTTTTTCTTATCCTATTTGTTTTTTTTTGTTACATCAAATTAGATTATTGCTAAACAGTTAAAATGGCAGAGGCAGCAATGGATAATTCTGGCAGACTTGTAAAGATGGAGGTAGATTATAGCAGTACTTGCGACATAAAAATTCCAGAATGCAAGAAACTAGCTTCCGAAGGAAAGCTACATGATGCCTTGGATCAATTGTTAGCTTTAGAGAAACTTACTAGAACTGTTAAGTATACACTGATACTGTAAAATAAGAAATTATATATGTATATATATATATATTAGAGAAATTTATCTTTAACTTTTTTTTGTATAGGGTGCCGACATGCCATCAACATCCAGACTTCTTATAGCTATAGTCGAAATTTGTTTGGAAGCAAAAAACTGGTCAGCGCTCAATGAGCATATAATTTTATTGTCAAAGAGGCGCTCTCAACTTAAACAGGCTGTTACAAAAATGGTTCAAGAATGTTGTACTTACATAGATAAAATGCCTAATAAAGAGACCACGGTGAAATTAATAGAAACTCTTCGTTCAGTTACAGAAGGAAAGGTAAATATATTTTTAACTATATTTAATATATACTATTCCTCAGATGGATTGGACAATGAGCTAGTATATTTTATTTCTCTAAAAAAATTAAAATGTTATGAAACTTTCAAGAAACTGAGGAAAATAAAAAAAAAATCAAAATCCTTTTTTCTCAAAAGATGTTATCTCCACTCGGAAATTAAAGATTAATGAATAATATACGTTTTAATATAGCCCAGAAGTTTCATAGCTAAAATTAGTCATGATTAAACCGTATTAAAACATCTGTGTGATTAATTCCATTTTATGGCAAAAACTAAAATAAAAATTTGCGTGTCCAGTTTGCATTATTAAAAATAGATTGTCTCTTATTTATTATATATTTTTGATTGTTTATCAAGGGCAAGATTACTGTGTGACTAACCAGTTTTCTATTTTTTTTTTAATTGATATGAATGTATACTAATAAAATTTTTTACAGATATATGTAGAAGTAGAAAGAGCAAGACTTACTCACCGTTTAGCTAAAATAAAAGAAACAGAGGGAGACGTTGCAGGCGCTGCAACTGTAATGCTTGAATTACAGGTACTTATACTTTACAAGAATAATGGACATAGTATATCAATAAAACTTAATTATATTATACAAAGGAGGGTATATAAAAATGGGTGTTTGGGAATTGTAAGGCGATCAAATAAATCGTATATATTTCTACATATTTTGCGTCGTAGAATCTGAAAATGACTATGAAAATTATGCCTGTAATGGGGAAAACTTGGAAAATGAAGAAAAGTGGAAAAAAGGGAAATCGTTAAAATACTTGCATGTGTAAATTTCTTACATTTACGGATGGTAAAATATTTCGAAAACTAAGCATTGTAAGAAAAAGTGTCTCAGATAAAAGTTGTAAGGTTTAAAAAAAAAAAAAATATTTATTGACGCTATTAATTTGACTTTAGGTGGTGTCACCAAGGTCAGAACAAGATTACCTTTAATTTTTTTAATAGGACTCCCTGTTTTTTATTGCAAATTCTTGTAACCCTTCTTTAGACCTTTTCAAAGCACTATAATTTTATCCACTTTAAGTAGTACCCAGCCAAGGCAAAATTGGAAGATGATCCAGTCAACTAAGGATACTCCTTAAATCTTGCCTTGATTGACTGAATCATCTTCCGATCTTGCCTTCATGGGCTAAACATCTTATAAAAAGCTTGATAACATCAAAACGGCTTACTAAAAGTGGATAAAATTATAGTGCTTTGAAAAGGTCTAAAGAAGGGTTACAAGAATTTATAATAAAAAATAGGGAATCTTATTCAAAAAATTCAAGGTGACCTTGTTCTGATCTTGGCGACGCCATCTAAAATCAAATTAGCGCCAGTAAATAGATCTTTTCAAACTCTAAAACTTTTATCTGAGATACTTTTTCCTACAATGCTTAGTTTTCAAGATATTTTGCCGTCCCCGTATTTTTTATACCTTTGCCGATTGAAGATCGAAACTTTTTGCACACCTATATCTTGAGTATCTCTAGATAGCTAGTTCGAGATTTTGTGACTCAAAATACGCAAGAAAAAGTAAACGTAAAAAAATTACATTTGCGATTCTGCTTTTTTCCTTTTTTCTTCATTTTCCAAGTTTTCCCCGCTGCAAACGTAATTTTCATGGTCATTTTCGGATTCTACAACTCAAAATACGTGAAAATATGTACGATTTATTCGATTGCCTTGCGATTCCCAAAAGTCCATTTTTGCATACTCTCCTTTGTAAAGATTATACTAAATGGCATACTAAATATCCAAATAGGTGGAAACATATGGCAGTATGTCACGTCGAGAAAAAGCTTCCCTCATCTTAGAACAAATGAGACTTTGTTTGGCAAAACAAGATTTCATGAGAACTCAAATTATAGCAAAGAAAATTAACGTTAAGTTCTTCACTGATGAGAACGACGAAGAAACTCAGGCATTGAAATTAAAATACTACGAGTATGTATACTATATTTTGTACTTAAATATGTTATACAAATCTTAATGAATCACACTTTACATCTAGTTTAATGATGGAATTGGCACGTCATGAGGGTTGGCATTTGGAGTTGTGTCGGCATAACCGAGCAGTACTGGAAACTCCGACAATTCGGGACGATCCGGAAAAAAAACATATCGCGCTTTCTCGAGCAGTTCTTTATCTTGTACTCGCACCACACGAGCCTGAACAGGCTGATCTAACTCATAGACTACTCGCTGATAAACTCCTCGATGAAATACCTACTTACAAGTAACGATTATGATTACTTTGTAGTATTTAAAATATCTATTTCTGATTTTTTTAAAATAATGTGAACTGTAACAATCCGCAGGGAATTGTTGCGCTTATTTGTTAATCCCGAATTGATAAAATGGTCAGGATTATGTGAAATTTATGAAAAAGATCTCAGATTAACTGAAGTCTTTTCTTCTTCGACTGAAGAAGGATCCAAACGATGGGCAGATCTACGAAATCGTGTTGTAGAACATGTAAGTAATTATTTAAAACAAAGAGTAATGAAAAGTTTATATTAGGTTGTATCATAAAAAATTATCAGTATTTAATCAGTAAATTGAGATAAAGTATTCTTTAGATGTGCTATTCATGGAATTTATTACGGTATTATTCTTTGATTATTATTCGATTTATTAACGAAAGGATTATTCAGTGATAGTTCAAAAAATTTACTAAAAATTTCAAAAGTAAGCCTCGAGATAAACCCTGATTTTAATAAAAATAGTGCATATTTTAATTCAGTGAAACTTGTTTTTTCTACAATATATTGTTTTTATTTTAATTTACATAAATTTTATATGGTACAATTTGATATTATACAAGATGTTTTTATTTTTATGTTATGAATTTTTTATCTATTTTGAATTAATTTTTTTTTAATCAGTGTAAATTATTGTAATTTTTTCAAAATTATAATTATAACTTTAATCAGATAAAATCTATTTAAAATTAATTGAAAAATATAACTTTAACTGTTTGTATTTTAAAATTTAGTAAAAAGATTTTTAGTAACATTTCTAATTTAGTAAATAGAATTTTTATTCTAATCTTTTGTAATTCAAAATTTATAATTCAAAAGATGTTCCGATATTTTTTAAAACTTAAAACTTGAATTCAAAGTCATTTAAAGAAATCTCCAACACGTTTATTTACAATAATCGCATATGATTTTTAAATAGAACTCACCTAATTTTTTTGATTTATCTTTCCTTTTTTGGAATTCTTTTGAGAATATTTCCATTTTTTTTTCTTTTAAGAACATTCTGCATGAAAAAAAATTAGGAATGGTTTACAAGATATTTTATATTTTATTACATTATTAATATTGTATTAATATATTACTAACATATTTTGATATAAGTTTTTAAAAGTAGAATATTGATTTGTCAATAATTTTGCTTTAATAATTTTATGCATAAATATAGAAAAACATTTGTCTGTTTTTAGAATATAAGGATTATGGCCAAATATTACACTAAGATTACATTAACTCGTATGGCTGAGTTATTAGATCTTCCAGCTGAAGAAACAGAAGCATGTCTTTGCAATTTAGTAGAGACTGGAGTGATCAGTGCTCGTACAGATCGTCCAGCTGGTGTAGTCCGTTTTACAGGCACACAAGAGCCAGCTGCTCTTTTAGATACATGGGCTGCATCATTATCGAAATTGATGGGCCTTGTGAATCATACTACACATTTAATTCATCAAGAAGAAATGTTGGCCGTTGCGCAATCTTAAAATTGATATATTTATATATGACGTTCGTGTATATCGTATCTCTCATGTTATCCGTTTTAATTTTATTTCCATTCAGTAATAGCATATTATTATTTAGATTTATTAACAAAACAACCAGAGTTACGATTTTGGATTGTAAAAACATTGTTTATATTTTTGTGTATTCGGTATGTAATTCACGCACATACACATGCACGCACGCGCGTACAGTTATTATATTTAAACAATATCAAAAATATAATTCATTCAATATGAAGCTAAAACTATACTATTGCAAATCAATTTTTTCTATTGATCATTTATTTTAATGTAGTACAATAAAAATATAAAATTTATATGTTTGCACAAAATAGTTTATTATATCCGATGTATATCGTTGGAGATTAAAACTAATTCATAACCCTTTTTTTGTTATTATGCATCATAGTAGGAATAAATAATTCTATTTTTCAGCTTTTCTGCTTCTCAGAGTACAATTCAATTAATTTCTATTCAAAATAAAACAATTTCATTTTGAATATCCCATGTAACATACTCTTGAAATGAAAGCTAAATAACAATCATAAATAACGGCATAAATCTGCTAAATTTTATTTTTCAAAATTGAAGATTGAAAATTATCATTTAAATAATTTGATTATTATAATTAATGAATTAAATATAATGCACTATAAAAAATATATGAAGTACAGAAAAGTAAAATATAAAATTAAGTAGACGCATAAAAAAATTGTATATTGTTTTATATATACATAATAAATTTACTTTAGTACTTAAATACAGTCTGAGGCACTATTGATTTTTTTATAAATCTGCTTTAATACTTTATATACAGAATAATTAGAAGAATCATATTATGCAAAAAAAATCTATTAAAATCTTATTTAAAAAACAAATTAAGTTGATCTTGAAATTTCTCTGAAACTCCTATAAAATATATATATTTAAAAAAAATTTTAATTATACATATTTATATTTTTTTAAATTTTTTTTTCAAATATTTTAATATTTATATTTTTCGCTTTGACATTATACTTTAAAATAATTTTTATTTAAGGGAAAAGTAAAGAAACCTTTATTTATATTAATATTCAACATTATTAATATTCAACATTAGTAAGAATACTCGCACAGCGCTATATTGTTGCCTTATTATTTTAATTACTATATATATTTCAGAAAACATATAGTCAATCTTTATTCAACTAAATTCACCCCTAGCCGTTTAAGTTACTGTAAGGAAATAATTGTTAAGCGTTAACATTTAGGTATTATTAACAAAGGAAACAGAAATTCATCTCATCATATTAGATTTTTTTAGAACCTTCGAGAAGCTTTACTAATCGCATAGCAAGAATTTCGTGCGAGCCGTGTGCTAAAAGTTTATGTTACATGATATCTACTTAATCGTCTCTTGGCGAGAGATAAGCGACCTGCGCCTCCTGTGCGCGTCCCTTACTGAAACAAAGGAACTAAATGCTTATTAGATTAAATACATTATTAAATCAAATTAATATTACCTAGATTCCCCTTTTAACAAGAAATTACATTATATTATATATATATATATAAATTACATTATATTATACATATATATCGAACGATATCTTTGTAATTTTATATTTCAACATTTGGGCATAGTATAAATCAGTCATTTTAAATATTTTATTATTCAAGATAACATTGAAACAGGAAGTGAATTTCTGGATTCCTAATAATGTAAACCATAGTATTTAGCAATTACGAACGAAAGAAAGTAGGAGAAATATAAGCATGACATAGTAATTATTAATGAAAGTCAATTAAGCGTATGAAGAACATGTTAACATTGCCATTTTCCTTAAATAATTAGCAAACTGCCATATATACATAAATGACATACTTTACACAACCATAAAAATCATCTTTTTATGTTCAAATTCTCCTGAGCCTAAGGGTGAATTCACATCTTGACAGAAAAGCGGAAAACAGAAAAGCAGAAGCCAATCAGAATTCGCGTTGGTAGTTAATAGTTTTTTGCTTTCTGCTTTTCTTGCTACCAGTGCGAGTTCTGATAATCATAAATTCTTTTGTTCTCTACTAAATCTACTATCACATATGAAAGCGAATAATCGCATAGCGTAACGCTTAATTGACATGCGCAGAAGACATTTCATTGTCTCGCGATAGCGTTCGCGCGCCGAGCCGAAATGTAGGAAGGCGATCGAGCAGAGCGCGCAGTCTTAAAAGATCTCTTGACCAATACGGACATTTTCCTAGCCAGAAGGAAGTCATTGTGCAATTAGCACCGAATTCATACCTCTTACTATAAATCGTCTACTACGTCGTGAAGGAGTTACCAATTAGGCTTGTCGAATCGTTTCCCGAATCTCACACTGGTCAATCCAAGGCTTAATTATTAACTCAATTTTATCACTCTCGCTGCTAAATCACCTTTCTGCAAAAGGTAACAAATACATTGATTTGTATATCTACTCTCCGACTTAATATAAGTTACTGTTTATATCTTACGTTATACTACGTTTTATATTCACGCACATTATACGCGTTTTAACCATTCAGTGGTTCTGCCATATATCGTTAGTCGATTACTATATATTATTCCACATTATTGAATATTTTAACCGTTATATTATCTCTTGTCTATTATATCATATTAGTTTATATGAAATTATGTATTATATCTTATTCTGAGTTATTTCTCATCATTTTATAATCTCAATTGATATTAACTGCTGCTTCACCTTATGTTATTTTCTTTATTGCTTGACATTGCCACCGTTACTTACTGTCTCACTACAATTTATACACGATTTTATTTAAACCATTAGGGTAAATTCACACCTTGACAGAAAAGCGGAAAACAAAGCCAATCAGAACTCGCACTGGTAGCAAGAAAAGCAGAAAGCAAAAAAACTATTAACTACCAACGCGAGTTCTGATTGGCTTATGCTTTTCTGTTTTCCGCTTTTCTGTCAAGGTGTGAATTCACCCTTAGGCTCAGGAGAATTTGAACATTGTCGCATTTGCGAGCAGAGGATTCCGAGACTGCGCACACTGCGTCACTGTGCTATTTGCAACCTTTTTCGTGAGGACTTCATTAAGCACTTAACTTATTCCGAGATAACCTCTCATTTGGGGGGTGAATTAAATTTTTATTGTTTGTATCTCGCATCTCTCAGGACTCAGGACTACACCCTTGTGAAGTTAGCCCGCAAGATGAAAATTTCTGAACGATCAATAGCTCAAAATAATGCTCCCGATTTGCTCCGTTCATATTGATAAATATAAAAATTGCTCCCTTTTAGTTTTTTTAAAAAATCCAAAAAACGATTTTTTACGAAAAACGTCCATAATTTTTGATCTAATTGATATTTTTGAACAAATGAGGTCTCAAAATTTTGCTCCAAATTTGCTCCGTTCGGAGCAATAAATGTTATCAATTGGTTTTTAATAGTTTCTTTTGTAAACGAAAAGAAACGTTCTTGTGATAAATCTAAGGACTTTTCGTCGAAAAACGTCATAACTTTTTGCCAAAGTGGTATTTTGCAGTAAATAAGGTCTCTAAATAATGCTCCCGATTTGCTCCATTCGAATAAATCAATTTCATAAAATGCACCTTTGCATTTTTGTTTAAATAGAAAAAACAATGTTTTTGTCCAAAATCTAGGGGCTTTTATTAAGCGCGCATGCGCATCGGCATGGAGTGTATAATCAAGACGTCAAAACAGTGAAGAAATGTCAGTGTTTATTTATAAATAAATAGAAAAGTAGATTAAAAACGATGCGGAATAATAAATATAAGTATAATAAATAATGTTTTGATTGGTCAATTTAGATAACACGACGCATGACGCGCTCAGTGGGAACGCACCCTTAATCCCATATTTTGTCTCGCAGAAGCAATATTTTGCAACGAGCCTTCCACTGATCCATATTTTACGAAGCTGCCAAACTTTCTACAAAGCCGGATTTTGCAATTTGGTCCTTAAAATCATGTAATAAATAAGACTATCTGCACCTAAGTGCACGATAGTGCAGACAGAATAAAATTTTATTTTGCTTATTTTTTCCAAAAAATCGCTTTGTAGAGAAGTGCAGACAATTCTCCTGATTACGAATATCTCAATTATATTGCGATTATCAATATTTTACTCGTAATTTGGAGTAAAGAAAATTCTTTTCCGACAGAGGTCTCTACCGTGCCTGCGGTCGAACCAATCAACGTTGGCGAATCGATTGCCAATCCGACAAAAGCATCATTCCAAACGAAATTCAAGAATTAAATGACCGTTTGTCGTGAACGAGTGATGTATGCAGTGCGAACAAGTGTGCAAAAGTAAATGTTAACTTGGGCATTTTATACCGATCTGCTTTTTATGTTAATCGCTTGATTTCGACAACACATAAATTGTGTATATGCCCTTTTAACATAGTCAGGATTTTTTTAACTGATCTAACAAGGTATGTTTTCGGATGAAGGCAGCCTGTAAACAACTTACTTTAAATCAGATTGACCTTAAAAACTTTTAAGTCACACAAATTTCTGTAAGAATACTTGTTGGACGATTTTGCATTTCATATGTATAAATGATAATAAGTAATAAATTCGTGTTTTTATGAAATTGTGATAAACATGGTGTAACTTCATTTGACTGTTAAAACTTACAATTTTACATATTTATTTCCAAGCGTGGAAATAGAATGTTTGGAAATAGAAAAAATTAATATCAAAATTATTATTAAATATACAATATAATTATATTTTTATATATCTTTTTAAATTAATATAGATGGAGAATACACTGGATTCAATTCGTCCTTCAGAAAATCCACAAGAAGATATGTCATATCTATTCGGCAGAGATCCAAGTATTTTGGCATACAGCCAGAGGCCATTACTCTCAAAGATTACAAGAAAGAATTTACTTTCTGTATATGAAACGGAAGAAGACAATTTTACCAATGATAATGCATCTGAGCGTTCTGAGTCACAAACTTTACAAACTATTAAAGTATACCTTAGACTTAAACCATTTCCAAAGAAGCTGAAATTAACGGAAGATCAGCAAGAGGCATATAAGATTGCAAATTCTACAACTTTGCTCACGAAGTTGCCCATACTGGATAACAGTGGAAGCATCAAACAGTCCAAAAGTAATGAGATTATATGTCGCAAATTTATCTTTTCACAAACATTTGGACCAGAGACTACTCAGCTGGAATTATTTGAACAAACAGTCCAGCAGCAGATGATTGAGTTTTTAGCTGGACAAAATTGCACTATAATGACATATGGTAAGAAATATTCTATAGTACAGAATATTTAAAAAAATTAAAAACTTTCAGAGTTTATAGTATTTTTTTAAATAAGCAAAATAATTTATAAACATCCCAAGTAGCAAGGTAACGTCTTAATAACGTCAAAAGACATCTTAATAATGTTTCTAATGTCAAGAAGACGTTATTGAAAAGTCATTTGATGTCATCTTGTTACTTGGGATGTCTTAAAATTAATATTTATTAAGATATTGACAATTTTCTATGTTATCTTTATAATAAGTGTTGTATATAGTTTATTTTCTTCAAGATACATTTCAGTTTTTTGATGTAAAGTATACAATCTTCCAAAAATTCTAAATTTATCTACATCTTATAATCATTCTATAGAAATTATAAATCTTATAAAATCAGTGAGAAATCTATCTAATTCTTTAGATATACTCATAGTCAAAAATTGTCCTTATGTAAAATTTAATAATTAATAAAGAATAAAAACTAAAAAATCATGAGATACTGAGATAGAAAATTTCATTAAATTTCTGAAAGATCTTTAATTTTTTTCTATTATTTGTATTTAATATTTTTTAATATACTGATAAATTTGATGATAAATAATATCAATTTTTGCTATATAATATGTATATTTTTTGTAGCAATGTTTACTTGTTAGGGAAGAGAGCGACATTATTATTATTATTATTATTAAAAATCTTATATTTAGAAATACACATGCACACACACAGGGTGTTCCCGTTTAAGTGGCCACGTTTAGTATAATAATTTAATTTTTTTAGGTACTACAAATTCAGGAAAGTCATACACATTGCAAGGGACTCCTACATCACCTGGACTTGTACCACGTGCACTGGAGTTTGTATTCAACAATGTTACAACAAGACCAAACCCATTTTATAAACCTCTGCATTATAGCGATGTGATCACTCTTAACGCTCTTGAACGTGCACAGGAACTTGAAGTAAAAACTAAATTACTAACATTTGGTTCTGTTGATAAACATCAGTACATGAATACCTACAAACAAATGCAAAAATTGCTGCAAGAGGAATCAATTCGTCCCAGTCAATGCTACGATGCTCATTACTCGGTTTGGGTTTCATTTGCGGAAATCTATAATGAAATTGTTTATGACTTATTATCAAATGAATGCCAAAAAAAGAGGATCCCTTTAAAATTGGGAGCAGATTCCAATGGCAGGGCATTTATCCGAGGCTTGAAGACTATTTATGTTAATTCAGCGGCGGAAGCTTACCAGATCTTGATGGCAGGGCAATATAATCTAAAAGTAGCCGCAACGGCGTTAAATGCAAAAAGTTCAAGGTCACATTGCATATTTACAATTATATTGTTAAAATATTATGCAGAAAATTTGCCCGATACGGTTGAAGTGAGCACGTATGTATTTTTCTCTTTCTAATATTTTATATTTATATATGGCGTATTTTCTATCCATACTTAAATATCTTGGGATCTATAAGGTCTAGAAGAAAATTTGTACAACCAAAATTGTACGTTACGCAGCGGGCTATCATATGGCGATAACAATTTTTGTCTAAGTGAAGGCACTTTGGAGATTTCAAGATTAATTTTGTTTCTTTAATGGAATTATATGATTTTTTTACATAATATTATTCTAATTATTCTGCATAAAGTATTAAGGTAAAGTTATCGAAAAATTAATAATTTCCGAAATATTTTAGTTTGTCATGCCATATTTTGACATAAATATTTCGTGCAATTTTGGTTACACAAATTTTCCTCTAGATCTTATAGATTCCAAGATGTTTACTGTGTTATTGAGACACCCTGTATATGAAGAAGCTGGAATTTATTATATTCATTTCTTTACACCATTATAATATTAATATGTGGATATTTGTTTTGCAGATTTTCGTTTTGCGATCTGGCAGGCTCAGAACGTTTGAAGAAGACATTGAATATTGGCGATAGATTAAAAGAAGCACAAAATATTAATACTAGTTTACTAGTATTAGGCAGATGCTTGAAATCCATTCACGAAGGACAGTTAGTTAGAACGAAAACAGATACTGTGGGACCATTTAGAGAATCCAAATTAACCAGATTATTCCAACGAGCGTTATCGGGCAAGGAGCACCTAGCTCTGATTGTTAATGTCAATCCTTTACCTAATCTTTATGTAGAGACCCAAAATGTTTTAAATTTCGCCGCCATCGCAAAAAGAATTGTTATAGAAAGAAAAAAGCAAATACAAAAGAAGTTAAAATCGAGATTTTCGCAAATAGTCACGCAGAGTATACAAACGGTAACCGATTGGGATACCACGGAACTGGAAAGCGTGGATTGGCAGCCTACAAGTAATGCGGAGGATGATTCGGAATACATTACTTCGGAGGAGTATATGGATCTGGCAAATGAAAACGAAAAATTGAAAAAGGAAATTGCTCTTTTAAAGAATTCAGCCTTAATTCAAGATCTTCAAAGCCGGCAGGAGATGGCCGACAAATATATTTCGATGATAAACGAGCTTGAAGTTGATTGGAAACGACGTATAAATGACGTCGAGTCCCAACACGAAGACGCTCTCGAGTGGACTGTGAAGCAAGTTGAAGAATTTTACAAGGGAAAATTAAGTCAATTAAGTAGGAAGAGAAGAAAACATAGCGAATGCACTGATGGCAGTGACGAGGATGATGACAGTCTTAAAATAACTATTAATGAATTAATTAAAGAAAGTACGCAATTGAGAGAGAAGAATGAAACTTTAAAGAAAACATTAACTGAATTAAAAATAACGAATGAAACTTTAATTGTGGAGAAAAACAAAGCTTTCTTTGAATTGGGATTGTCGAAGGAAGATTTAAAAGTTGCGAGAAATCTTCTAGAAACTGCTCAAAAAGATATTTGCTTTGCTCAAAATGGTGAAGCTTATATAAAGGAAATGACATCGCAATTACTTGTTAAAGACGAACAAATAAAAAAACTCAAAGAAATTCTTAATGAAGCAAAAGAAGAATACATTACAATTACATCTGATTTGAAAAAGAAAGAACTTTGCATTGATGAGCAAGCAAAAATTATAGTAGAAAATGAAGAGAAAATTGAAGATTTAGAATTACATCTTGAAGATGTTAATGTTTGCTTGACGGAAAAAACAAGAATAGTGGAGCTTCTAGAAGAAAAACTGGAACATCAAAATGAAAATAAAATCTTACAAATGCAAGAAGAAATTAATAAATTGAAGGATGAAAAATTAGCGTTAATTAAATCTTATGAAGAAAAATTGAACTCAACGACATCTACTCAAAACGAATATCAAGAGATCATTATAAAAGAAGAACTGATTACTGAGGTGTCAGAAGATTCAAGTATGATCAGAAAAAATGTGAAAGAAGGAACAGAAAATGGAACAGTATCTGCTAAAGAAACAGATTCAAATAATTTGAACCCCACAGAAGAAAAGACAATTCCTAAACGAATATTGGTGGATACAGGTTGCCAAGTGGATATAATAAATGCGAAGGATTACAACGAAGATAGTAAAAATGAGTTGGAAGAAAGTACTCAAGGTGTTGTAACAATAACAACATCCGAAGGTATTCAAACCAGTAGTAAAATGTCTTTAAAGGAAGAAGCTGTTCAGACTGACGATATTGCGGATGACAGTCTGAAATTACAATTAAATGCATTGACACAGATTAATGATGATATGAAAAAGACACTGCAGACTTTAAAAGAAGAGAATCATTCGAATAAAACCATCGTAGATGAATATAAAAATTCCGCGGAAGTACTTAAGAAACAATTAGCACTCGCTACGGAAGAGAAACGGAAGATAGAAGAGACTCTGCTAAGCTCCGATACGGCCTCGAAACAGAAAATTGCAGACTACGAATGTGAAATCGATCGATTGGAAAAGAATCTTGCAGCTGCAAATGAAAACGCTCAACAGTACATGGAGAAATTGGAAACGACTCAGAAAGAATTGGATGACTATATGTTAAAATGTAAAGAAGAAGAAAAAGAGACAGACGTGCGCAAATCGGACAAATTCGTTTCGGTGAAGGAAGAAGATATCGATACAAATAATATGAGTGTAAATCAGTTAGATGAGTATGCAGAAAAGATATCGCAGTTAGAAGATAGTCTGGAAACTATAGATAAGTTGAAGTATGATATCGATCAGTTGAACCAAAACTTGGAAACGTGTCGAGTAGAGAAGAACTGTATACAGATGATGCTTGAGAAGAATAATAAGGAATTGTCAGAGTTGGAGAGTCGGTTACAGGAAACGGCCGTGAAGGAACAGGAAAAGGATGTCGAGATCGCGACCTTGCAGAAGGAACTGAAACGTATGATACAAAAGATCGAAAATGCCGAGAGAGCCGACGACATGATGGAAACGGAATTAAAGAGCGCTATAAACGAATTGGCGCAGACCAAGCAGAAGCTTCTCGAAAAGGAGCAGCATTTAAAAGAGCTGAAGATACATTCGGAGAATTTCGAAAGAAACGCGAAAATCCTTAATCTACTCGAGCAGAACGCAAAGGAGCGGCAGGTCGAGAATGAACGGCTGCGGAATATAAACGACGACCTGAGGACCAGCCTGACGCAGAAGGAGCGTGAGATGGACGCGTTCATGAAGAATCGCGACGAGACGGTCACCAAGTATGAGGCTCTGGTGAAGAATCAGCAGGAGGAGTTGGACATGCAGAAGCGGGAGGTGATGAGGTACCAGGAACTGTTCCGTCGGCAGATGACGCCGACGCCGAATAAGGATGACTACAAGAAGCTGCAGAATCGTGTAGAGATACTCCAGGATAGATTACAGAAATACGAGAGCGGCTCGAGGACCAAAAACGATTGTGACAGCACGTCGGAGGAGGAGGTCTTGACGCAACGTCAAACTAAACGGCGGGGAAAGAAGACCGCCGTCTTATCCGCCAGGCAGGAGAACATACCGGTCATCGAATTATCCGGCTCCGAATCGAAACGTAGCACAAGAAACACCACTTTGCCACCGCCGGAAACCACTTTACCGCCCGCGCCATCGACCGAGAAGAGGCGCACTCGTAGAAAGAAGCTATTCCTCGAGAATGATTCGTTTGCGGAGATTGAACCTGTCGCCGCGTCTTTGCCAACTCGAAATTTAAGGAATCGGAAGAAATGAGGGAAATATATAGGACACATTGTAAATACTTTGTATATGCTGATAAGGGATGAGAAAGTACAAACGAAAAGGAAAAAAAAAACAAACATGTAATGTATAGTTCGCGAGTACCGCTTCTTCTGTGATTTTCATTGATCAAATAATATCATACAAATACTTAATTACACGTTCATTGAAAATTCACTCTTCTCTTTTCTTTTTTTAATATCGTACGTATTATATTAATTTTACATAATAATAATTAAAATAATTTTTAATAAATAATTGAAGTAATTTTTGTATATGTTCTACTTGTGTCAGGAAATGATAGTACATAGTAATTATCATCGACAAAATCTTTATTATCGTGACATTTTCTATATTATTATGCTATATTATTTTAAAATTTACTAAAATTCGAAAATCTCCAATGTATTTATAAACGCAATTTATAAACATCATCTGCATTTCATGTATTCGTAAATATTTTTTCTTTATTATGTATTCTAAATAATAATAATAATAATTTCAATAAATTCACGCTCGATCAAATATAACAGATTTAATTTAATTAAAATTAATTATGTATATGTATGTATGTGCCTAAAATAAAATTTTCGCTAGACGATTCCAATTTTAATACACTAATATCTTCTTTTTTCTTAATATTTAAATAAATTTTAAAATAAGGACAATAAGAGAGCGAAAGCTTTAAATTAATACCAAAAATTACATATAATACACTTAAAACAAAAGGAATCAAAGCTTCATAGAGATATAAGAGTATAATTTACAAAATTCAAAAATATTTAATCAACATAAGTTGAAAAAAATAAAACAAATAATTTTCTGTTAATACAAATGGCTTGTTTACTTTTCTGTGGAATTACATAGTTTTTTTGTGTGTAAATCTATCTTTTCCATTAGTTCTTATTCTGTCCTAAAATAAGGAAATGAACCCAATAATTAAGTGACTCGTTCTGATTTTAATGAATTTGGTCTTTATTAGTAGTATATACATCAAAAGACACGCGCAAATTTTTTTTATAAAAGCTCTTACACACATTAAAGAGTAAAAACACTAAAAAAAAGCAATGTTTATATTTATAAGCGTACATTAAAAAAGATGTGTAGTAAAAATATTTTAAACAAAACTTTTATGGATTTAAAAACACTTTATAACAGTTTATATACACAGTTTAAAAACACTTTATACAGTGTTTTCGGAAAAAACACGGAAACAAAACGGAAAAAAAAATTTTTTTAAATATATTGTTGATGTTGAAAATTTTAAAATGTTTTTTATAACATTTAAGGCTTATTTGAAGGTAAATGCAATTATGTATATACATGACAAAATTAATTTCTGAAAAAGCATCTTTCGGAAAGAGCTATAATTAAGGTTTCTATATTATGTATACCATCCATAGTCATCTTATCCATTATTCATTTGATTCAGTTTCTCTATAATTTTTTTGTAATTTATGCGCGCGCGTATAAAATATAAAAAATATTTAGTATTGTAAGAAATTGTAAAAAAATGATATATGAATACAATTATAAACATATTCAGTATATATATAATCATTCTATAAATTATTCTAATATACATATATAAATAATATAATAAACTCTATATGTACATATATAAAGCGCGCATTCGGCAAGCAAATTATCAGCGCTATTGCGTCCTTCTATTTTTATCGTTGATTAGACATAAATCAAGGATAAAAAAATGCAATAACGCTGATAGTGCGTTTCCCTTAATAAGTATAAATTGTAAAGTGGTAAAAGAAAAATTAACTGAATAAAACATACTAATCCATAGTTTAATTAATATCAAGAAAGATGAATTAAAAAAAACTAATTAAGTTTTTATCCAAAAAGATAAAAACTTAATTAGAATGATACAGCATAACGTCATTAATAAATGCATTATATATATATGTGTATGTATATATATATGTGTATCTTTTATATACATATATGTATACAATGCTTATAACATCTCCATGCTGTAAATTGGAAAAAAAGATATGGAGGGCTTGTTCCTTATAAATACAAATTTAAAATATCAACGTAAGATTTAAGAAAATTATGTATTTAATAAAAACATTTGTATATTTATACTGTTATTATATATATTGCATACGAGATATTTAAATTTATATCAGATATGTGTAAGAATATCTCAGGATAAAAAAAATAATCCATTTTTTTATCAGATTTAATTATATATGAAAATAAATTTGCAATAATCTATAATTGCCTTTCATACGCAAACACATATATAATATTTCATATATAATTTTAATAATTTTTCATATTTTAAATTTATAAAAATTTCTAAAAGTTACTTTTTTAAACTTCTCAGATATTACAAGTTTTCAAAAATTATAGAATAAGAAATGTTATAGAAATCTTAAAATAAAAAAAAATATATTATATTAGATTTTGAGCATCAATATTTCTAAAAAATGTCAATTTGTATTAAAAAATCTCAAAAAATTGAAGTTTTTTTCTAAAAAGTTATAAAATTATATTGAAATTTTGAAAATAATTTATATTAGAATTCTAAGAAAAATTTTCGCCAAGAATCAAACTGATTAAAAAATCGATTTATATAAAAAGTATATATATGTAAAAACAGTGGAATGTATATATATAATATATATGTTCCTACGTATTTTGCTGCATGAAATTAATTTTTCGTATATAATGCATTTATTTATTCCTCTTGATTAATTTATTCCTATTATATATGTATGATCCTAAAGACAAATCCTTTCTTTTTAAACACTTTTTTTATATCGTAGAGACAGAGTCTTGTTATAAGACGATGAGCAAAATTCTACCAGAGAAAGATATACAAAAGGGCCGGTTAAATTGAAAAGAAAGAGGTACACACACACACACACACACACTGAACTAGTGTATAATGAATTGCTCAGATCGTCTTATGACAAAAGGCTCTCACTCTGGTCTGGAGTGAGGGTCTCTAGTATATCGGCATACGATGCGCCCTCATGGTCGCGGATGCAAAAGCAGCGGGTCGATTTTCCATACATCACAGACATACCAGTGGAGTGGTACACTGTGGTGGTACTGTCAGCGTTCTCAGCTGACGCACAAAAGAGAGTTATAATACAACATCGAAAATGGTAAAAAATACACTCCTATAAGTATCGGCGGACGACGCGCGTTACGATTATAAATGCACCTGCGACCGTCGTACGTATTTCTTTTCTTTCTTTCAGTCGTTCGGCGAAAAAATAGCATCGATCATGCAGAGGCCTGGACAGGACCCTGTTGCCAAGGACGATGTGCCCTGGTGGATGAAGTACGCGGGCCGCGGACTCGGCACCGTAGGCAGCATAAGTAAGCCCGATGCACGATGACACCTTTACGTCGCTCGCAGATTTCTTCTGTACATCGTGCGCTATTTCGATATCCGTCTCTCTCGCGTGTGCGCGCGCGCGCGCGCGCGCGCTCGCTCGTACATGTGTAGCACGCACGTTAGATATCATTATTTATTTAATCGTCCAACTCGCGGCCTGAAAATCATCCGATTTATCCGATTTCTAGGCGATAGCGTTTGCTTCTTTTTACTCTTTAGTATATAGGTTTGGTTTTTTTTCTTATTGATGCACTGAATTACGACTTTCTTTCTTGTCTTCGTCAAATTTTAAACGTATGCCTATTTCACTTTAAAAATTCCACTTTACAGAGTATACGCTAGTTCAGCTATAAAAACATATTGTGTTGTATATATGATATATAAATATATATATATATACAAGGTTGGAAATAACTCGTTACTTGTAACGAAGTTACAGTTACAGTTACTTTTTTTCAATAACTGTAACTTAACTTAGTTAGATTTTTTAAGTAACTAGTAACTAATTTAATAGTTACTTTTACAGTTACTTTATATATGTCAAATCGTCACTTTCATGGATCAAAATTATGCAACACTTTCACTCAATCACTTGATCGTAATGTTGATTGTAATTATGCAAAATATTTAAATTGATTTAAATGCTCATATTTAAATACGCGCATTACCTTTCTTTTTAAAATAAAATTATATAATATGTAAATCTTTATTTTATAATGTTAATGTTGTTCTATTAAATGTAACTAAAAAGTAACGATTCGTTACTTTT